TATTTTAAATATGTCTTTTCTTTTCTTTTTTGGCAGTAGTAGGGGTTAAACTCAGGGGTTTCCACTTGCTAGGCAGGCATTCTACCTCTAGAGCTACTCTGCCAACCCTGAACCCTGTATTTCCTTTTTTTTTTTGGTGGTGCTGGGGTTTGAACTCAGGGCTTCATACTTGCTAGGCAGGTGCTCTACCACTGGAGCTCCTCCAACAGCCTTGTTTTGTGTTGGGTTTCTTTTCGAGATAGGGTCTCCTGAATTATTTGCCCAGGGCTGGCTTTGAACATCAGTCCTGACATCTGCCCCCTGAGTAGCTAGGATTATAGGCATGAGCTACCAGCACCTGACTCAGCCTGGATTTTTAACATTGGTTTGTCTAACCTTAGTGCTTCTCAGGGCATTTTTTAATAAACCCCAAGGGTGAGGTGACTTTGCCTGAGAAGTCAGCATTATACCCTTATCCCACTGCAGTTCAGTCACAAGGGTGACTTTCAGTAGAACTTCCATTGTCACCCAGAATAACTCTGGAATTCTCCTTTGGATTGGGGAAAGTGGAGAGGAGTTGTGGCCTGATGTTAGACTCCCCTAATTTCCTTAGTGAAATGAAGCCTTTCTCCAGTCAGGGGAAGCCAGACTCCAGGCTTCTGTTGTGGGCATGGGATGCTTTGGTGGTAAGAGAAAATATTTGATGTGCCCAAGGTTTGGAGACTTGGGCTATACTTCTCCTTGGCTTCCAGCTCATGTAATGTTACTCAGGCTATTTGAGGTGTTTTGATGGGCCCTGGGCTTTGAGTATCTGGAATATGTCACCCTGCAAGGGCTTTGTGAGTCCCCAACTGTTAGGGTAGGGCTTTCAGAGAGTTGCAGGGATTCTAGAGCCCATATTCAGAGATTCCAGTTATAATGTTGAATGCATCTGAACTTGTGGCAGATAATCTTAGACTACCTGCTGTTCTTCTTAGGGCTGGGGAGAGTGTGCTGAGTTTAGGAGTCACACAGGACCTAGAAGATGTGGTGGACAAGGAGCTACTTTCCTACGCATTTGGCCAAGAGGGAGGCAGGACCCACCATATCTCTCCATATTATGGAGAGATAGAAGCTGTCCCTGATCTGTTGAATGTACCTAGCTCAATGGTAGAACAGACATTTGGTTGTGAATGTGTTGGGTTCACAGAACTAGACCTCCTGGGAGGACCAGCCCGAGGTCTCTCTTCACGTAAAGAGGACCTGCGAAGGAGAGGGAATGCGATAGCCAGGGATTATAAGAAAGAAAGTCGCCCTGGCTACTTGATTCTTAATGCTAAAATGGGCTCTAATCCTTGTTTCCTTTTTGGTGTTGGATTAAAAATGTAGGGCAGGGTTAGAATTGACTGTTAATAATACCCAAGACAAACATATGCTCTGAGACTGCTGGAAAGGAAAGAGCTGTAGGAAGGGTTGCAGCTGCAGTGGTTATTTATATGTCTTTAAACACTTACAGTCCTTGTTTTGATTTTCTGGTTATATTTCTGCCTTTCTCTGTCTTGAGAAAAATGGGTTGGTTTTTTTTTTTCAGTGTATTTAAAGTAATTATGGTGACTGGCAGTGTGGCTCAAGTGGTAGAGTGCTTTCCTAGCAAGTGTGAGGCCCTGAGTTCAAATCTCAGTACCACAAAATTTTTTTTGAAGGACTGGTGATGTAGTTCAGTGGTAGAGCCCCTGTGTTCCATCACCAGCATCATAAAAACAGCAGCAGCAACAAAATAAAGACAGAAATATTCTGTTTTCTGCTGTCATAGTAGCAAAGATTAAAGCACAATTCTCCAGGAATTATTTTATCAGTTCATATATTAATTTGGAAAATCATACAGTACTGGTGAGATGTGAGTTATGCTCTTGGAAAGTCATTTGGCAGTTTACCAGAGGCCCAGAAAATTTGCACTTTTTACCCATTGCTTCATGCCAGAAAGATCTCCTGCAATAATTCATGCAAGGAGAAGCCCTCAGCAAAACCACATTTACTGACACATAATTCTAGAGCACTTTCTTCTTTGCAGAAAGCTTGGGCCAATACTACAAGGCCCAAATTGGCAATTAAATACTAATCATAATTTTATCTCACAAAATAACATTTTGGTATATTTTTTTTCAGTTCCAAGAAAATGTCTACAACTTTGTTCTTTTTTCACTTCAAGACTTTGTGCTTGTTCCTCTCCATTTCCTAGCCTTTGGCGGGCTTCCTCCTGGTCAAATTCTTTGGAGTGGCCTTGCCTAGTGCCCTAGTGTGGAGCTGTCTACACCTGTTTTGTTTGTGTCCTACCATAGCACCTTGTTTATTTTCTTCAGAGCACTTAGGAGAAGCTGTGGCTGCTCTCTCATGAGAGCACACGCCCCCAGGAGCTTGTGTTGTCCCTCCTGATGCTTAGCACAACGACAGGCCAACTACTGAATGGGAGAGTGAATGGTGACGAGGATTCCCATATCATTATTTCTAATGGGTGCATAATATTCCATTCTAGAAATGTAACCTTACTTTTAACCACTGCTCTATTATTGGTTTTCAATTTTTCACCACACTGAAACATAAGAAATAATCAAAATGGTTATTGGAAATATTCTTGACTAAACTATGGGCTATGAGGCAGGCATTTAAAATCCTAGCTATGCACTGGTAGCTCACACCTGTAATCCTAGCTACACAGGAGGCAGAAGATCAGGAGGATCGTGGTTTGAAACCAGTCTGGGCAAACAGTTCGCAAGACCCTATCTCAAAAAAAAAAAAAAAAAAAAAAAAAAACCTTTACAAAAATAGGGCTGGTGGAGTGGCTCAAGGTGAATGCCCTGAGTTTAACTTCCAGCACCGCAAAAAACAAAACAATAAAATCCTAAGAAGGCTGTGGCCATGGCTTAAGTGGCAGAACACTTGCCTGGCAAGTGCAAGACCCTGAGTTTAAACCCCAGTACTGCCAAAATAAATAAATAAAAATCCTAGGAAGTGTTTTTATTAATGAAGAGAAATGAGTATGTTGGGTGAAAACAAGCGTAATATGAAATTATCTGGCATGATTTTAATCATGTAAAAGTACGTAGAAAAAGCTGATAGGCAATTACTAATATTAATTGAATATGAATTAATATGAATTTCAGTTTGACAAAACTACAAATGACCTTGAAGGGTCCACATACTCCCAAAAGGTGTCAGTTAGCCAGGGGGAAAAACACCCCTTCTCCTTCCCAAGAAATCTCCACCCTTAGGCAATAAAAAAAGCTATAAACCCGATTTCCAACCTGACTCTGTGGACCACTGGTTTCCTGGTCCAGCTGCATGACCCCATACAGCCTTTCCTTTCCCTTCTCTACAAATAAAACTTCTCTGACCTTTGCTGCTTAAGTCCACCTTTGATTTCTAAGAGTGGACCGAGGACCCTCACCACCCAAAAGTTCCTGCTTATCATCTGTGTATCAACTTTTTTTCTTTTTCTTTTTTTTTGGCAGTACTGGGTTTCAAACTTAGAGCCTCATGCTTGCTAGTGCCCTGCTCTACCACTTGAGCCACTCCACCAGCCCAAAATCAGCTTATTTATTTTTTGGGGGGTTTGAACTCTGGGCCTCATGTTTGCTAGGCAGGTGCTCTTACCACTTGAACCATTCTACCAGCCCTCCTTGATTATTTTTAAGTATACAAGGAATACATGGTATGGTCTTTCTTTTCTATTTTTTTAAAGTAATTTTCTGTTTTTCAAGTTTACTGTGGTGAGTGTATGAGGTTTTTTTAATAATTGGAAAAGAAAGTTCCTAAAAACTTCAGAACACTTTCTGAAACATTAGATTATTGAAGATGGTCAAAAGGAGAGTTAAGAGCCATAATATCCTAGACAGTGGCCTAAATGAAACACACTTGCTGATGATGACCATTAGCCTTTGAGGCATTCCAGGATTGTATTTGGCTTGGGTTTATAGTGGCAGGTTTATAGCATTTCCTGTGAAGTCTCTGTGGCTGTTGAGATACATGTGTGGCTGTGGTACAGAGACCAGGCTTACCTAAGTGGTGTGTCTCGATGTGAATGTGCTATAGATGTGCCTTTACTTGGGAAGACCTCACAGCTGCTCCTCACATCTGTTTTTGGAGCTTGAGAGTAGCTCATGTGGTCTTAGATATTGTCATAGCCTTTTATTAATTTAAGGCAATGGTTCTCAAGTCCAAAGTTACAGCTATCTTCACACGAAGACTAAGATGTCATTTGCAGTTTTCATTTTCACACTCACAAGAACATGGTGCTGCTCGAGTCACACAGATTGGCTGCAGAAGCAGATAACAGATTCATCAGTCTTCTGTGAAGCCAGACATTAAGGAGGGTTGCAAAAATGTAAAACACTGCCAGTATTCCCCCTAGGATTTCTTATTGTGGACAATATGGCTACTTTTCCTTAAAATGCTATTTATGTTAACATGCAATAAGTTTGTTGTTATTTTAAATGAATCAATAAATATTTGAAAACATTTTCAAATATTTTTTTGAAATAGAGATTAGCTATGTAGCCCAGGCTAGCCTTGAATTTATGAGCCTCCTGCCTTACTTAGTCTCCCAAGTGCTGAGTTTACAGGCATGTGCCACTTCACCTGGCTCAATTTAATTCTTACTATGGCAAATATCCATAGATGTTTACCCACATAAATAGACACTCTCTGGGGTACTTAGTTTTTAAGAATGTGAAAGATGTCTTGAGAGCAAAGTTTGAGCACTGAATAAAGGAGACAGGAAGAGGACTGTCTTTTTTTTTTTTTTTTAAGTTTGCTAATAGGTTTTATTGAATGTCTTACATGGGTGTGGGCAGGGCCTATGAGTGGTACAGGGTATCAGTGACAAAGAACTGTCTTTATGGTAGGTCCATTGTGGCTCAGTCAACAGATTGTTTGAATTGTATGACTCAAGGGAACAAGACCTAAGGGGAAATGGCCTAGTCTAATAGATAGGTGTGGAAGTCCTTAAATGATAGTAAGTTCTCTCTCTCTCTGTTCTCTTTCAGAGATCATGCATGATGTGATAAAGAAGGTCAAGAAGAAGGGGGAATGGAAGGTAAGTAAGAGGTCAATTAATGGTCCTAAAGGTTAGTTTCCATGGGAAAAATAAGAATAGGAGTAGAGTTGGAGGGAAGGAGTTAGGTTTTTGCTGCGACTAGAGGCACAAGATGCTTGCTCCTGGACTGCAGAAAAGTGACCTGCTCTATCTCTCACAGAGTCATGGTTCAGAAGTCTCTTGGTCATAAAGCTTATCATAAAGATCACCTGGTTGGGCAGCTACCAGTGGGACTCTTACCCAAACACAATCTTCCCTGGAACCTATTAGGTAAAGCAGAAGGCCCAGCGGTTCTGCTTGCCATAGGAGAGGAAGAAGAGACCCTTCTGGTTCCTTTGGTGAACACACAGCATTTCCAGGGAGCTCACATGGTTTGAAAAGCCCTCATTTGGTCTCTCCCCATCTGGCAGTAGCTACATAAGACAAGAAAAGTAAACTTGCTTGTTCATGTATCATTGAGAGCAGTGTTGGAAACCATACTGTGCATGAAGCAAGTTTTGAGACCAGGGGGACTGATAATGGCCTGAGTTCCTGGAGTGGCTGGCGCAGGAGTTATCCATGCTGTCTTCCATGCATGTTAGCATTTTAAGGGTTGCTCATTGTCGGGACCTGGGTAGCACACCGACAAGGAGAGCATGCAGTTCTACTGGTGTTTCCCCATGTGGTGGTGAAGGGTTTATTCTGGCCATTATTGTCCTCAGGTTTTCCTGATGTTGAGAGTCCATACATGTTCAAGTTCACTGGGCCTGGGAACAACAAAACTAATTGATTTTGAGGGATTTCAGAGCCTCACTCCAGCCTTATGTTTTAGCCAGCACATCCATCCTCTCCTAGAGGGGAGGTCGTCTGGTGGAAGCTCTCATGCACGTCTTTCTCTCTTACCCTTCCCATCAGAAATGGATTTGTAGACCTGGAAATTCTGAAGTATCCTCAAGGAAGCTGCCTCAGAAAATGAAACTAATGTAGCAGAAAGCTTTCTGGTCCACATCTGCACTGCTGTGTCTAGTTCTTGTTTCCTCCTTCTCAGTTTGTGTCATTAGAGGAGAAGAGAAAGACTTTGCTTTAACTGCAGATTTCCTCTCCCAACCACAGGCTAATGGGGTTAGGAAAGGTGAGCTGAACATCACAGGGCTTTAGACCAGGACTCCAATGTCTGGACAGAGGTGAACTCTGATTCCCACTTCATGTATGTGCTGAGTGAAGGTAGGAATCCTGATGATGTCAGCACTAGGTCTCGTGTGCCAGACCACTTGTGTGGACACTAGTATTCTTTTCCCTTAAGAACAGGTTATAAGCTGGATGTGGATGTACATGCCTGTAATCCCAGTACTTGGGAGCCTAAGGCAAGAGGATCACAAGTTCCAGGCTAGCCTGGGCTACATATTGAGACCCTGTCTCCAAAAAAATTAACAAAAATAACACAAATTATGCCCTGAGAAAATACTCACTAATAGGATTACCTCTGAAAGTTGGTGCTGTAGATGATTTTCTCCATTTTTCTTTTTCTTTTCTGGTTTTTTTTTTTTTTTTTGAACCACTCCACCAGCCCTTTTTTGTGAAGGGTTTTTTGGGATAGGGTCTCGCGATCTGTTTGCCCAGGCTGGCTTTGAACCAAGATCCTCCTGATCTCTGCCTCCTGAGTAGCTAGGATTACAGGCATGAGCCACCAGTGCCTGGCTGGTTTTTTTTCTTTTTGAGACCGGATCTCGCTATGTAGCCTGTGTTGGCCTCTAACTCGCCATCCTCCTGCCTCTGCTTCCTGAGTGGTGGAGTGGATTACCACACCTGGCAGAAAATTACTTTTTTAAAGTTTATGAAATAAAGTCAAGAGAGTGCGAGCAAACACTGACTCCTACAACATTAGGTTAGGGTGTGGGAGGTTTAAACAAGCATATATCTCAGCAGACTTCTGGTCCATAGGAAACATGGTTTCTTCCACATTCTGCACTTCTGGTGCTCTTTTGAAGCCTGATGCAATAAACTGATGAGAATCAGAGCAGTGCCATTGGCCCATGAACTGTCTCTTTCTCCCAGGTGCTGGTGGTGGACCAGTTAAGCATGAGGATGCTCTCCTCCTGCTGCAAGATGACGGACATCATGACTGAGGGCATAACAAGTGAGCACCGTACTCCCTGCACAGAGTCTTCTCTTTGTAGCGCTCTGTTCCTTCCTACTCGTCGTTCTCATTTGATGTTTTCTGGTTTAGTTTTTGTTTTTGTTTTTTTGGCAGTACTAGGGTTTGAATTCAGAGCTGTGTGCTGGCTAGGCAGACGTTCTACTACTTGAGCCACTCTGCCAGTCCTCATTTGACTTTAGATCCTTCCAAAAACCTGTGTGATAAGATTGTAAGCCCCTGAGAAAGACCCAGGCTACCTGTTCATCACTGGATCTCTTGCACATAACACAGTGCTAGCTACCCCTTATGGGTTAGTTAAAGGAATGCCAAAGGAAAGGTTAAATTAAGAAAAAAGATAAAAAAGAAAAAGGCAGTCTACCCAATAGAATAAAGACCTGAACACTTAACAAAAGGAGAAACCCAACATCTAAGAGTGCTGATGAACCCCAATGCCTGAGGGGAAAAAAAAAAGGAACCCAGATGGCCAGTAAATATATGAAAAGGACCCACCTTCACTAATGATGAGGGAAATGCCATTCAAAGCACAGTGAGACTCCATTATGGACTCACCAGATTAGGACATTTAAACTCTAATGCCATGCGACAGTGGGCATGTAAAAAAATGGGGACTCCAATGTGATGGACAGTCCCCAGTACAGCTACTTTGAAAAGCACTTGTCAGCATGTGGTAAAGTTGAAGGTATGCATTCCTGTGAGCCAGCACGGCTGTGGTTAGATGTGTACCCTGGACATCCTCAGGTGTGTATGCCCAAGATACAGATGCTGGAGTGCTCACTAAGCATTGCTCACAGGAACCCCAAATGGGGAGCAACCAAAACCTGCATCAAAAGTAGAATGGTTAAATAAATTGTGGTGTAGGGTCACAGCAGAATTCTTTATAGTAAGAAAAACAGATGGTCTCTGACTATTCACAGTAACATGACTGAATCTGATAAATACAATGTTGAGCAAAAGAAGCAATTTACAAAAGAGTATGTAGAGCATATTTCCATTTGTGCAAAGTTCAAAACCAGATGGCACTAAGCTGCAGTGTTTTGCTTTGTAATCCAGATGTAGGTGGCAAAACTGTAAAGAGAAGTGCCCCCCATTTAAGTGAGGACCATGGTTCTGTAGAGGGATGGGAGGGGCATGTGGGGTGAGGATGCTTCTGCGGTGCCAGTGGTTCCTTTAACTGGAGGATGCATATGCAGACACTTACATTATAGTGATTTCTGTTAATGTTTTATTCATTGTTCAGAATGTATATTTCCATTTCACAAATTGTTTTTTAAACAGTTACATCATCTGCCCAAGATCACTAACTAGTGTCACACCTGAGACTTAGGACTCAGACCTTCTGGCTCCTGTCCTATAACTGTCATTCACCTGTGTGTGGCAGCTCTACTCTCACTTGGCACTCCTTTGGGAGGGATCATGTATTTTTGTCTTTGAAATAGCATTGACTGAAAAGCAGTATCTTGGGTTGGGGGTATGTCACTCAGTGGTAGAGCAGTAGCATGCCCCAAGGCACTGGGCTTGATCCCCCAGGGTCACAACAAATAACAGACAAACAAATAAAATGTTTCAAAGGAAAAGTAATCTCTTTTTGAGGTATTATTCCAAGCAAGGAAGTTGATGCACATGTGTACCACCTTTGTTTCCCCTGGACACATCTTTGTATGATATGCGGCTCACAGACATTGCTGGTCTTTTGTTAAAATTATTACCATAGTACAGGTAAAGGAGGAAAAATAAGGAAGGTTGAGTTTTTCATTAAACTTAATGAATTCAGTTATTTCATTTTAAAGTCTGACTGTTACTCTAAAGTTATTTCTTTCCTAGTCGGTGTTAAAATGTCCTTAAGTTGTAAAATTGCAGTCATAATGTATTGTGGATTTTCCTGTTGATTGTGGAAGTACATGATTTTTGGAGTGAACTTTCTTTCACAGAGCTAGGGATCAAACTCAGGGTCTTGAACATTTTAGGCAAGTCATCTACCGCTGAAATACATCCCCAACCCTGTTTGGAGTGATTTTTATGTCATCTGGTACCCAAGTCAGATTTTTGTTGTTGTTGTTTGTTTTTGGGGGAAGTGGAGTTTGAACTCAGGCCTTGCTCTTGCTAGGCAGGTACTCTACTGCTTGAGCCACTTCTCCAGCCCCCAAGTCAGTTTTAAGATCAGGATTGTTTTGTTTTGAGCTTATAGTTATTTTCCTCACTGAATTTTATTATTATTACTATTATTATTATTTGAAGTACTGGAGTTTGAACTCAGGGCCTATACCTTGAGCCACTCTACCAGCCTTGTTTTTGCATGTGTGTGATGGGTTTTTTGAGATAGGTTCTCATGAACTGTTTGCCCAGGACTGGCTTTGAACTTCCTCCTGACCTCTGTCTCCTGAGTAGTTAGGATTACAGGCACGAGCCACTGGTGCCCAGCTTCCTGACTGAATTTTTTACACTAGTTCCTCTGCAGGTGACATGTGTTTCACGTCTGCAGTCCAAGCCACTCTGGAGACTGAGGCAGGGGGATCACTTCATCCCAGGAGTTTGAGAACAGCTTGGGCAACATAGCAAGAACCAAAAACAGAAAAAAAAAATTGTGCCAAGAAGCACAAGGCCCTGAATTCAAACCCCAGAACTGCCAAAAAAAAAAGAAAAAGGAGAAAGAAAAAATACACATGGGGAGAAAAGCCATATGGCATAAAGAAACTTTTAACAAAGGAGCAGCAATGCCCTTTCCCACCCCCTCCTTGCCATCCTCTTGGGTTCAGGAGGCAGCCCCCCTGTTCTCTCTTTCTTTTTTCTTTCCCCTAAATAAATGCTTATACTATTATTACTTGATTCATCAGTGTCAGATGTTGTCTTGACTTACTGTGGTTGATGAGGATTCAGTCCCCCGCCCACACCACATACAAATCTCTTATCCCCAAAGGTGTACTTCAGAAACGCCCTTGCAACTAGAGTGCCTATCTAGAAAGTGTGAGGCCCTGAGTTCAAACTCCAGCACTGCTCAAAAAAAAAAAAATGCCCTTAACTTAGCAAAATTAAAAAGTTGAATCCCTAAAACATTTTTTGAGTAAATATTAGTAGCCGATGAGATTTAAAACTCTACAATCCCTGGTAAAGTAGATGGTTGCAGGATTAATTTGAATGTTATTGGGAGTGATGATGTTTATAAATGTTGCAGGAGATATTTGAACTCAGGACTTTACACTTAGCTAGGCAGGCACTCTCCCACTACAAGAGATACTTCTGAAGTGCTGCCTTGATTTACTTAAGCCATCTGCATAAGCAGAATAGCATGCATGTTCCTCCATGCCAGAGGACAGGGTGGCATGGATATCACACTCTAAGCTTTATCAGGTGACTAGTGACATGCTCCCAAAAGCTGTTCTTTTCAGGTGAAGTAGCTGATAGGGAATAAGCAAAGAAGGAACTAAACAAATCAAAAGCCTGTGGCTTACTTTAATAGGATAGGAGGTTTTGTCTTTGAACCATTAAAAGGAGCACTATTTATTACACAAAGGATATATTTGGAATGTCTTTGCTTGATGTGCAGAGGAAAATGATAACTGGATAACTATCCAGTTATTGATAAATAAACCCAACATAGAAATTCTAAGGACTTGAGGTTATTTAGGACCGATGAGAAGAAGCTGAAGGAAGAGGCACAGGAATCATTCTTGATAGAATGAAGCAGCCTTTTCCATTTCCTTTCAGAACAGATCAAGTAATGTATTTAAGCTGAAAAGGGAAGTGGGAAGTATCTGCAGTGGCCAGATTTCAGATTTTCTAACATCACGGGCATAGTGAATGTGGACTTCACTCCTGGAGAAGTGGTACATTAAGGAAAGGATGAGTGGTTCTGTTCCTTCCCCTCACTGTAGACTTCTATCTGTGCCAGTCTGAAGGGGACCTGTCTAGATTGATTCTAGTTTAGTGGTCAACAGTCATGTTTCTTATCCACTGTGGGCTGTTTTGTTGTCTAGTTGTGGAAGACATCAACAAGCGCAGAGAGCCGCTCCCCAGCCTGGAGGCCGTGTATCTCATCACTCCATCTGAGAAGGTAAATCCCCCAATGGATAAAAGCTTCGGCTTTGGTTAGACGTGCTGGGCTTGGGATCCCTGTGGCACAAACACATGACATTTCTAGGTTAAGCACGCATTTAATACACTGCTCTGTTTAGGTGAGGGAGCCTTTGGGCCACGAGAAGCGAAATACACCAGCTATGCAGAAAGCCAGAGCTGTGTCCAGAGGCCCTGAGCATTCCAGTTTTCCCCCTTATGCTCCCTCCCCAGGCAGGAAATCCACCTCCAGGCTTTGGTATTTCATGTTTTCAGGTTTATTTCATCAATATCCAGTTAGTGCTCAAATTTGTCTGTTTTATAATTTGGGGGATTGGCTTAAACCAGCATCCAAACAAGGTCCATTTCTTTGCTTTTGCTGATAGTTGTCTTAATGTATATTTAAAAATTCCTGTCACACTTTCTTTTCAATTTTGAAAACTGCCTTACATATGAGTTTCTTCAGATACAACTATACTGTGAGAATTTCATGAGCACAAATCTCCTGGAAGGTTCTAACCAGTTTTGTGGATTTCTCCTTGGGAACCCAAGTTACAAGTGACTGACACTCATTCTAGAATGAGCCAGACTCCAAGGCGATCCTAATTTTACGTGCTCAGAACTTGATATAGCTGCACATCAGCATTATAAGTATACATCAGAACCCCTGCTATTTTGTGCAGTTGTGAGCCTGAGCAGCTAGAATTTAACTTGGTTCAGATACCAGTTCCATTTGCTTCTCTAATGGGATTTAGTGCCCTTTTTTGTTCCTGTCCACAGTCTGTCCACTCTCTCATCAGTGATTTTAAGGACCCACCGACTGCTAAATATCGGGCTGCACATGTGTTCTTCACCGACTGTAAGTACATAGCCCACCAGGCTAGGTTAGCATTTCTGCACAGCTCAGCTGAATCCAAACCAAGTCAGGTCAATAGGGAAGAAATGGGTTATTTGCCATGGTTGATCTTTTATTTTCTCTTCAGGAAAGGTAAATTGTATAGAGATAAAAATAAACACACATACAAATACAAACCTACCAGATCATGTAGTTCTTCCTGATGAAAAATAGCTCACCAGGCATCTCTGCTAAGGACAATAGGCTTCCTGCTAAGAACAATTTTTCTGAGACTACCCTTGGTGACTCATTGTACAGATGTCCAGATGTCTCTATAATCTGTAGTGTATTTCCATTTGGTTTTTAACTCTATAGATTCTAATCCAGTGGTCTTTATATTACACAAAACTTGCACCATTGCCATGGAGTTGGTTTTCTTATTTTGTGTAGTTTATGCATGGATCCTAGTGGAAAAGAGATGAGAGATGAGTAGCTACAGAGTTCAAAACAATGAGGTTTTACCAGGTGTTCTTGTCTCTAAGGAAAACCCCCAACAAGTCACCACTGAGAAAATGGAAAGGGTATAGCAAAGAATAATCTTTTGATTATTTGAATATGAGTAACAAAGGAAGCAAGAAGATAGCATTAATGATAGGAAAGCAGTAATATGCATTTCTGGGCACCTGAAGCCATTTGTCTGACCTGTGAGAGTTTCAAGAATTATGGTTGCTGATCAAGGGAGCCTCTTGTGCTAGTGGGTTCCTTAGAAGTTCCTGAAATGCCTGCATCACATTTCCAACTGGTTTTATTTTTCTTTCTTATTTTATTTATCATAAACATGTGAGATGTGTAGTGCTTATTTCTTTGTCTGTGTTAATTTTAATCACTCTGTTTTCCTTCCTTTCCTTTGTATGGGAAAAGAGTTTTTATTGGCTCTCAGTGTCTCAGTCAATTGCTATTTGTTTCTCTATGATGTTTTAAGAGTCTTTCAGTCCTTGTGAAGCATTCCTTTATATCCAAGAGGTACTGGATATTTTATAATGTGAAGAACTTTCTAGGTGCCCTTTAAAAATTTGAATTAAGGATGCCCTGGATATGTGCAGCTGTTAAATGAACCAGCAGGTGAACAGGAAACTAGACTGTCTTTTGTTATTCTTGCAGCATGTCCAGATGCCCTGTTTAATGAGTTGGTAAAATCTCGAGCAGCCAAAGTCATCAAAACGCTGACAGAAATCAACATTGCATTTCTCCCATATGAATCCCAGGTGAGGCTGGATAGGGAATACACAGAAGATCTGCATCCTAGTTATTCTATCAGGAACTCTGAGAAGGGGGGGCAGGCAATAAAAAGAGACTTGCCAAATGGTGTACGTGGGTGTTTATTTAATGGAAATGGTTTTTGGTAGCCACCTGTCCAATGCCCTCATCTTGCTTGCCAACTATTTCTTTTTGTTCACCATTATGCCTCTCTTTGCATGCATTTCATCTTTGCTCAGTGTTCACTTCTCTAGGCTGACTCCTTGAATAACCCAAAGTAGCCAATTTTAAAAGAGTATGGAAGGAGAAGAGGGGAAGGGATCACAGCATCCCATCTGCTTGAAGGAGACTGTTTTTATTGGCAATCACCCCAGCTCATCACGTGCTAAGAGAGCAGATGGTCACCTCCGTCATTAGCTGTTAACACTTCGTGCACCAAAGACCATGGCAGCAAACTTCTCCACTTGGAAAAAAAATAAGGTTTCTAAATCTGTCAAGGTGAAGCTGATTGTAAAAGAATTTACAAAATTTATCTTAATATTTTTAAGACTTTAAAAATTGTCTTCTCCTAGTAAACAGGGAATCAGAAACAATAGGACTTTTTTGTGCTTTTTGGCCATAAAGGATGACTGTGTCATATTGGGTCTTTCAGATGAGCTTCTAGAACCAGAGAGCAATCTATTCTTAGAAGAGAAATGGAAAAGATACAGTGTGAACATGTATCTTCCTTCTCACGTGGCTTGACACCTATTTCCTGTTTCTCATGTCAATCCCATCACCACTTGAATTAAATCCAGCTTTAGCATATGCAACCATATTATATTTCAGAAATTTTAAGAAAGTAATAAACCCTTTAAAAATAATTTTTTAAGGAAATGAAAGTAGTTTATATAAATGAGAACTTTAGAAAATACTAATAGCTGGTAGACTCAGTAAGTCAGTAAGAAATTTTAGGGCTAGAGTCATGATTCAAATGGTAGAATGCCTATCTAGTAAGCATGAGGCCCTTTCAAACTCCAATACTGCCCAAAAAAAGGCAAAAGAAATTTTAAACTTCCAGAATTCTTTTCTCTCTCTCTCTCTCTCTCTCTCTCTCTCTCTCTCTCTCTCACACACACACACACACACACACACACACACACGGGGACACACACACACACATATGTGGGTGTGGGAGAGAGAGAAGATGGAGGAGGAGGAAGAGAAGGAGAAGAAAAAAAATACTTAGAACATTTTACTGAGAACAGGATATTATTAAACCTAAAAGAGCTCTTTTATTTGTCCATAGTCATGGCATAATTTCCAGCTCATCCCTTGTTTGTTAAAGGCAAAAACTCTTTTCCTTGTACAAGCACAAAGAAAAAAATTACTATTTTTTTAAAAAGCAAACTTACTGACTTTAGATCTTACACCCCTTTTTTTCTTGGCCTCATCATTCATCAGACACCCTAGGCAGACACCTGCTGAGGTCCTTGGCACCGCTCTCCTTCCAGGTGGAAACTCCTTGCTGGAGATAAACGCCTTACCTTCTTCAAGCCCTTGCTCATATTAGTCCAAGGGCACCCTCCACCATCACCACATCCAGCTCACCTGAGCTTTCTTTCTCTGCTGTTATTTCCTCATGTATTTATCAAGTTCTCAATACCATACAATTTACTTTGAACTCTGTTTGAAGTCTACCTCCCTCTACTAGATTTCAAACTCTTTGGAGATCGAGATGTTTTGGTCACTAGTTGTTCCCATGTGTTTAGTGTAGTGCCTGGCACTGGAATAAATGAAATCATGTCCTGTAGACGCACACCAGGGTGGAGGAAACTCAACAGCTCGCCATTCTGGACATACACATGTATGTTGTTTCCTCCTCCTCAGGTGTATTCCTTGGACTCTGCTGACTCTTTCCAAAGCTTCTACAGTCCCCACAAGGCGCAGATGAAGAACCCCATACTGGAACGTCTGGCAGAGCAGATTGCAACCTTATGTGCCACCCTGAAGGAGTACCCAGCTGTGCGGTATCGAGGGTAAGACAGCATGCCAGTCTGTGAAAGGGATCCTGAATGTCCCCTGAGCCTAGAGCTTTCCCAAGTGTCTCTGGTTTTAAAGTTCTCTTGGCAGTCGTCTCAAGAGCATCAAGGTTTGCTAGATATGAGGCTGGAGGCATGACTCAAACAGTAGAGTGCCTTCCTAGCAAAGTGCGGAGCCCCAAGTTCAAACCCCAGTATCGCCAAAAAGAAAACTTTTGGGTATGTTAGTTCACATTTGTAATTCCAACACTTGGAAAGCTGAAGCAGGAGCATCACAAATTCGAGATCATCCTGTGCTACATAACATATTCCAGGCCAGTTTGAGCTACATAGCCAGACCCTGTCTCAGAAAAAGAAAAAAAAAAAGATTTAAGCATTTCTCATTTAAGATTATTCTTCTAATGATGTTACTCTTTAATCTTATTTTTATTGTGAAATATACATAGTACATATAGAAAAGAACATTACATACATATATGGGTTTTTGAGAATAGGATACAATACAGAGAGAATAATTCTCCAAAGGACACGGTCTTCAGATTTTATGAAGTCATTCATTTATCACTTGCATGCTGCATAAAGACACAGCTTCTACCTTCAGAAGTTCAGACCTGGGAGGATAGGAAGGATGGATACTAACATACGTGTGCATAGGATGTGCACACCTACAGTACAGCCCTGCAAGGCCAAGGCAAGGCAAGTGCTTGGAAGGGTCTCAGGCTAGAGGTGATATCTGAGCCAGGTTTTGAAGAACAGATCAGATCTCAGTAGACAGATGAAGGGAGTGAGGGCATTGCGTGTGTTCAGTTGGCTCTTGCCTTCGGTATAAGCTAAAGCTCTGGTGAAGCACAATGCAAGTGTGGGAGGATCAGTAGTCTGGCACAGTGCCTGTGTAGGTCAGGGAGGCAGGAGGAAGCTGTTCCTGGAGGCCTGAAAAGCTAGGTTTGGGATTATGTTCCTCAGTGGTTTTAACTGGGGAATGTCCAGGGACAGAGAGCAAACACAGTGTCATGCAAGCATGAAGATGAGAAGCCGGGAAGGAGAGGCAATGCTGGGGCCTCTGCAAGAGGAGCAGAGGGCCTGGGCTTGGAGTGATGAGAGCAGGAGATACAGGCAAGTACAGATTCTGATGCAGCACTAGTGTGCTGGGTGTGGAGCAGTGATTGCTGAGGAATTGAGTTGAGGTGACCGAGAGCTTCATGGTCCCAAGGAGACTGCATTGCCTTGTCTGCTGGAACTCAGGCCATAAAAAACCACCTTATTGCTACCCCAGCACCTGGCTTCCCTCATTGTTGACACTCACTGACAAAAGCCTGGTGGAAGGTAAGAAAAGGGGCCGTGGTTATCTTTCCTGACCAAGTTGCTGCTATGGGGTAAAGGTTGGCATGGTGGTGCACTGTAGCCACGCCACTCACAAGACCCGAGGGAATTTGAATGGAAGGAGGTAAGAATGATCAAGGTCTGGCCAGATGTCGTGGTCATGGGAAAAGGAATGGTCAGGGCTCTCTATTGAAATGTGATTGTTTATTTTATCTGAAGCTGCTTAGAAAGACTATTTTTGCTTCTACTTACTTAGATAGTTTAGAAAAAAGAAGGAACAAAAAATCACTTATTTATGTTCTAGGCAGTGGGCTGAGTATTTTACCTTTTCCTTTTTAGTTATAAATGTAATGTATGGATTAAAAAAAAAAAGATCTGAGATAAGCTATTGCCAGCTTAGACTGACCTTGAACTCTCTGTTTAGCCCAGGTAGGTCTCAAACTCAGATTCCTCCAGCCTTGGCCTCCTGAGTGTTGGGATTACAGCCATATGCTACCATGGTAGTATATTTTTATTGTGTTAAAAAAAATCCTACTACAGAACTAGGGACATAGCTCAAGTGGTAGAACACTTCCTTGCCTACCACGTGTAAGGCCCAGGGTTCAATCTCCAGTTCCACAAACAGCGAACAAAAAACCTAATACAAACAATGCTTCTGTGTTGACTGATCTTCTGCACTGTCCTGCATCCTTCCTGGGGGTACTCAGTACATCGTTTGGGTGCACAGGTGGTTCACTCTCGGTCACTCCTCCTTTATCAGGGAATACAAGGACAATGCCTTGCTGGCTCAGCTAATCCAAGACAAGCTCGACGCCTATAAAGCTGATGACCCAACAATGGGGGAGGTAAGTCTGGGCTTAGATCAGGAGGTTATCTTACCAAGTGGCCCTAGTGTTTATGTGACAGGCTCAGAGAACAATGCAGTCTGTAGCTCACAGAATATATGTGAAGGCAGATATGTTCAACATAGCTAGGGTGATGAACTTGTTTCTGTTTATCAGAACTTTCCCAGTTTTAGCACTGAATGTCCCTTTTTCCAGGGACACCCACACTTTGCTATTGTAGTACAGTATTGTAGACAGAAAGTTGGCATTAGTACAATCCCATTCAGATTTCACTAGCTTTTGCCCCTACTCAGTGCACACACAGTTCTATGCAGCTTTTTTTTTTTTTTTAACCCAAAGCTCAGAGCTGTAAAGTTCCATGTAGTTCTAACACAAACCTGGATTTGGGCAACCACCACTATCATCAAAATATAGAGCTGGGGCTGCAGACCTAGCTCAGTGGTAGAGTGGGTGCATGTGCAAGTCCTGGCTTGAATCCTCAGAACCCTTCCCACTCCCAAAAAATAAAATAAAATGAAAGATGGTACAGAGCTGTTGACACTCAAAGTCCTGGGTCCTAGAAACCCTTAGTCCCAGGCACACGATGTAGTTGCTCACCCCATTTGTCGCTGAACTTGGTGCTCTCTTACAAAAACTCACTTCAGCCCCCAGCTGCAGTTCAGATCCGCTTCACAGGCCCTCACTATAGAATGGAAACATTGGAGTGTCACGTAGGATTTGTTGGTGTTCTGGTCAAGCAGTAAACAAACTACTTGGTGTTGTTTTCATAGGCTGGCTACTCAAGATTGCTTCATGCCTCCTCTTTGCAAGAGGGACTGCTAATGGGGGGGCTAGAGTTGTCTAGGTGGCCTTTGAAGCATCTCCCTGTTCCCCCAGGGCCCGGACAAGGCACGCTCACAGCTCCTGATCCTGGATCGCGGCTTTGACCCCAGCTCCCCTGTGCTCCATGAATTGACCTTTCAGGCTATGAGTTATGATCTTCTGCCCATTGAAAATGACGTTTACAAGTAAGTGCAATGCTACCGACTCTGAGTGACCACAGCCTGTAAGCAAGCTAAGAATGCCTCCAACTTAAGGAAAAAAGACGTTTTTTTAGTCCTAGGAAAAGCAGATGTGTTGACGGTTTCTCAAATAAGCCTGTAACACTTTTCAAGTGTTCTCCATCCATGTGGGATTTCTAGACAGAAACTTATGTCCATAAGTTCCTGGGAGGACAGGAACTTCAGATCTTTAACTCACAGCTCACATCACCTACTTGTAGTTCATAGCCTACCTGGAAATGTTACCAGGTTGATTCTTTGTGCACCTGTGTGTGTTTGTATGTATCCTACTTAGAATTGAAACTTCTTAATTACACATTACAAGATATGATGACAAATATTTCAATAGGTTATATTTCTTACTGAACTTTCTGTACAGTGGAATTGTTTTCTTCATTATAAAAAGTATTTTTCTTGATGGCTATGATCAGAAACTCCACCTTCAAAAATCAATTTTCATTTTTTATGGAAACACTGCATTGTTCTTGTTTATTTTGTAACATTGATCATGAAGATAGTGGTTTCAAAATGAAGGTTCAAAAAATAGAAGTGATTCTCAGCCCTTTTGCTCCTTTCTTTTTTGGTTCCTGTAATCTGTTTTTTGTCTTGTCTTTTTTTTTTTTTTTTTGGTGGAACTGGAATTTGAACTCATGGCCTCACGCTTGCAAAGCAGGCACGCTACCACTTGAGCCACACATCTAGTCTGGTTACTATGATTCTTGCTTCTTCCAGCCATTCATGATTTCACATGTAACAATATAGCAATGACCTATTACAGGTGGCTTCTAGAAGTTGTTTAGGCACCACACATTTGAGGATCCAAATCAGAACAGGACAAATAAGAACTTTCCTTTCTCCTCTAAGTAACTCTAAATCCACTATAACCCAACCTCATGTCTGGGACTAGGTGGCTGGGGGAAAGCTTCTATGAGCTAACCCCAAAGAGTTAAAGCAAAACTACAAGTTATTGACTCTTGAGGAGAGCACTGAGTCTCTCCCTGCCCAAGAACTGAGCCTATGCTGCCACAGCCAACCTGACTGGCACATCAAATAGTCAGTCATGTTATGAGCTGTTCCTTAGATCACCTGGCAGCTGAGGACTGAGCTGCTGTCATTATATACCAAATGGGTGTGGGGAATGCTGTGAGGATACAGCTCTACCTGAGTCCCATCTCCTCTAGGTATGAGACCAGCGGCATTGGAGAGGCACGAGTGAAGGAGGTGCTTTTGGATGAGGATGATGACCTGTGGATTGCACTACGCCACAAACACATCGCAGAGGTGTCCCAGTAAGAGCCCTTCTTCTGCCCTTCTGCAGGGCAGGTGCTTCTCCCTGAGGGCTGTGAGTGATGTATGCAATTTGTGCAACTTGAGAGAGAATTCATTGCCTTGGCAAAGTCACCAACATGCTGACCAAAAATGACACATCCCTTCTGTACCCTGAGCTTGAACTATGCCAACTTGACAAAGTTAGAAAATCCATTCTGTATTAGTGTGGGTTTTAGGATTCTAGAAAGCATTGGTAGCTCTCACAGAAAAATACTTTATAATTAGTAAGCATTTAAAGCCAGTTCATTCCACTGAAAGATCCAGATACCACTGTGTGCAATTCAAGTTTGTCTTTTATAAAGCTGATGTGCAGGCTTCCTTCTGGTTTCTCTGCACTTTCTGAGCAAAAGCTGTTATCTGTGTACTGCATTGTACTGTGCTTTGAACATTCTTCAGAACGCTTCTAATATTTAAGCATTGTTATAAGGCCTTTAACCTGCGATAACAATCATGCTTTTTCAGAAAGACACATTCTGCTACACTAAGTTGGTGATAACCTGAGGAAATTCAGAAGGGTGGAAGACAGTACATGCTTGGGTGGCTCTGTGTTTAGAGAAGTGGTCTTCAAACCTTAATGATCACTTAGTATTAAAATATATATATATTGCTGTGCATGAGTGACTTGTGCCAATAATCCTAGCTACTTGGGAGGCTGAGATCAGGAGGATCACAGTTCAAGGCCAGCCCAGACAAATATTTCTTGAGACCCCTGCCCCCATCTCTAAAATAACCAGAGCAAAATGGACTGGAGGCATGGCTTAAGAAGTAGAGCACCTGTTTTGCAAGCACAAAGCCCTGAATTCAAACCCTCATCCCACCACCCCCAAAATTGACCCACATTTCCAGTTATTAAATTTTATGAATTAATCGTATGTTCTATTGCACTAAAAGTATATTTTGCAGCATACATGTATGCTTATATGGCTTTCAAATATAAAATATGTCTCATTGTGTATATTGAAAAGGATAAGAAGATGAACAGGAGTAGATGTTCTAACAATGTCCTCTTTGCTCCTTGAATCACCTGATATGCTAGAGACCAGTAGTTTAGACTATTAACTAAGAAACAATGTGTTCCTTTCATTTAGAAAATCACTTTAAATGCATACCTCAGTGGCAGGAAAGTTGCCACATAGTCTTAAAGGAAGTCTAGTGAATGACTTCTGCAGCCTTAAAGAACCCTCTATGCTGCTCTGAAACTCAGCTGCCTCCTTCCATTTTCCAGGGAAGTCACACGGTCTCTGAAGGACTTTTCTTCTAGCAAGAGAATGAACACTGGAGAGAAGGTAAACCCCATCTCAGTGTGCAAACACCCAGAAAATTAGTCCCTGCTTTTTGTCTGGAGTTAGGGAGTTAATGAAGTCTTATTTCTCTTCTCAATGTCAGTTTGTCTTGTTTTTGCATTTAGGATTCATATCTGGGGGCTGAGACTGCAACTCAGTGGTAGAGCACTTGCATAGCATGCACAAGACACTGGGTTTGATCCCCAGTACCAAAAATAAGTGAACAGTTTTTAAAAAGATTTGGGCTTGTGGAGTGGTTCAAGTGGTAGAGTACCTGCCTAGCAAACGTGAAGCCCTCAGTTCAAACTCAGTATTGCAAAATAAATAAATAAATAATTGAATAAAATTCATATCTGAAATGCCCTTCTTTCGATGTTGATAGAGAGCTGCTCTTTGTTACTTGGAAGATGACTATTTACTGTTGGTATTGTGATTCATTTTAAGCTAGAAGAATAGTGGAAATTTTTTAGCTTGTGTTGTAATTGGAATTCATAACCTGATTTACCAGGGCCTCTTCTTACTTCAGCCTCTTCTTACTCTGTGAGAAGTGGCTTGCCCGCCTTACCAAAGTGCAGTTTTGGTATATTACTTGCTTGCTTAAAACCATTTAGTATCTTCTGGTTCCCCTTAAGGTACATCCTCACCCTTCTGCAGACATGCAGGGCATCAGGCTCCTTTCTGTCTGCTCTGCTTCCATCCTCCCTGCCCCCACCTCCTTACTCCAGCCATGTCAGAGCTCTCTTGCCTTGAGCCTTTCCTAGTTCTTTCCTTAGGGAAACCTTTTGTGATGCCTCTCTTGACTGGAGAGGTCTGTGTGCTGCAAGCACCCACCCTCCCCAGTGAGTGCCCTCAAAAAACTCTAATCCACTCTATTGTATGGCTTGCTTGTCTGGCTCATCTGCTGAGTGTTAAGCTTCTTGAAACAGAAATTTTTTTTTTTTTTTTTTTTTTTTTGGTAAAGCAGAAATTTCTTTTTTTTTTGGTACCTGCATCTCCAGTACCTAATAGTGTCTGATGGGTAGCAGTAGTCCAATCAGCTTTTGTTGGGTAAATAGGTGCAATTAAGTGGGTCACACAATTAGAAAGTAAACGACGACCCATCTTGCCTTGGGACCTAGTTCCAGCCCTTTCTAACCAATTTCCTACCTGGCTACACACTACAGCCTGCCTGCTGGGTGAAGTGCAGACTCGATGCCAAGACTGCTTGAGCTGAGTGTGTAGAAAAGAAACATGTTTTTTCTTGGCAAGGATCATACTTTCTACAACTCTCTAGTCCAATAAACATAGAATAAAACCTAACTGTCCAACTTGAAGGTTTAGTTCCCCATCTGGAACACAATCTTGACATTTAGATCGATAATTTTTTGAGCCAAAGGCTTGGGAATCTAAACACACGTGATCTTGTGTTTAACAGATTCATTTTGAGAGTCACAGAGTGTGCACTTGTGAAGTGTAGTGTGGTTGCTGTCCTGTAATGTGTCACCAGCCTTGTAAGGCCTCATTGAGTCAGGGCCATTGCAGTGACTTGTGTTTCCCTTTCCCTTGCAGACCACCATGCGGGACCTATCCCAGATGCTGAAGAAGATGCCCCAGTACCAGAAGGAGCTCAGCAAGGTGTGAAAAGCCACACAAAGACTTCTCAAAACCCTACTGTACTCAGGCTCATTGAAATCCACACATTTTTAGTTCTCTTCAATTTTTATTAGGAAAAAAAGGAAGAATAAAGAAAGACTGGGATAGGCACTTTATTTCTTCCTATCCCTTTCTTTCCTCCTCTGCATCTTTCTTTCTTTGTTCTTTCTCATCCCTTGCTGTTGGTGAGAAGCTTCGGTTCTTCACAGCATATGCCTTTCCTTTGGTTTGGCTGTGGTCACCACACATGGCCATTGGCTTCCCCCAGAGTAGGGAATCTAAGAGTGGGCCAGGAGGATGTCAGGCCCTCTATATCCTGATCTTGAGCGTCATACACCATCACTTCCTGCCCCAGTGTTTGTTGAAGCAAGGCACTAAATCCAAACCATACTCAGGGAGAAGGGAATTAAGCTCCCTCTCCTGGAGGGAGGTGTATCAGTGAATCTGTGGACACAACATAAACCTAATGCACCATTCCTCTCTCCTAAAGGATTTCTGTTTTCAACTCTTGCAGAATGCAGCTTGAGCCTCTCTCCTGACATGTTACATTTTCTACCTTGTGATGTTGGAGTACTGGCTTATACATGTTTGATCTCCTTTGTGAGGCTAGACATTTCTTAGCACCTAGCACAGTGTTTTATACATAGTAGGTACTCAGTAGATGTTGCATGAATCAGTGATTAATTCCTTGATCACCAACTCTACTGTGCTTTTTCCAGTATTCAACCCACCTGCATCTTGCTGAGGACTGTATGAAGCATTACCAAGGCACTGTGGATAAACTCTGCCGAGTGGAGCAGGTAGGACTTTTCCCTTCCCTTTTTGTATGGCAGGTTCTTTTTCCATGCCCATTCACCCAGCTGAATTTTAACATCTGACCTTGAACATCCTGCAGAATCATAGGAAACAGAGATGGGAGAGCCTGTGATCTCACATTGTCTTGTCTCGGCTTTGGAGCCAGTATGGCTCCACTCTTGAACGGCAGGGACAAGATTGGTCTGGAGTGCCGTGCTGCTTGGATTTTGCATGTCTGGCAATTTCCAAAGGCCCTATTTTCCCTGCAATGGCAGAAAAGAACCATGAAGAGTTCTGAACTTAACTTACATTGACAGGGCTGGCTAAATTTTGTGTTCTAAAAATGTTTCCTCCTGCTGTGGCCAGACCTTGAGGGAGGGAGTGCAGTGCAGCTGCAGGTGTCAGGAGTTCTCCCAAAGACTTGCAGATCACAGTTAGTTCTGGAATTGAGCCTTTGGGATTATTGTATTCTATGCACCTGTTCTCTGCTTCATTTTCCACATCTGCAAAAGGAAGATCACAGTACTGACATTTTCCAAGATATTGTGAGGAATCCTAAACCTGGCCCTCCAGTCTTCAAGTGTGGCCTTGTTACTAAATTTGTGTGTGTGTGTGTGTGTGTGTGTGTGTGTGTGTGTGTGTGTGTGTGTGTGTGTGTGTGTGTGTGTGTGTGTGTTGCCAAACCCAAGGCCTCACTCATGCTGAGCAGATGATCCAACATTGATTTACATCCCCAGCACCCATGTTTCAGCTTCTAAGGGAAGAGAGAGAGCATTAAAAGATCCTGAAGCTTCAACTGAAAGCCTCTTTTTACAGAAAAATACCAGCTCATGTTTTCAATGTGCAATGAAGATTTAAATCTTCTGGCCTGATGTGGAAAACTCAGTTTAGGTTTCAAGCCCTGACCTATATTATAGGGTCAGCCTTCCTAAAAATCTATCCATTTCTCAGGTGGTCTTAGCAAACACATGTCCTCTCCCAAAGAGCTTGGCCATCCAGAAAGCAGGTTATACCTAGGTCGGTAAAATTGCAGTTTGAGATAAATCTTTGGAAACTTAAAATTTTTCAGAAATGCTCAAAATTTTTCAGAAATGGTGACCTAGTTACATTTCACTGAGCTCTAAGAGTACTAGAGTCTGCTGGGTACTGGTGGTTCACACCTGTAATCCTAGCAATTCAGGAGGGAGAGATGAGGAGGATCGCAGCTTGGAACCAGCCTGGGCAAATAATTCCACGAGACCCTATCTCGAAAAACCCTTCACAAATATAGAGCTGGTGGAGTGGCTCAAGGTGAAGGCCCTGAGTTCAAACCCCAGTACTGCAAAAAAACAAAAACAGTACTAGATTCCAATCCTGCTAAACAAAAGTCTACTGAAAGTATGGTGGGAGTGGAGGTGAGAGGGCCGAGGAGAGAGGCTTCACCTTCCTTAGACCCTGCCTGCAAAGAGACATCATCATTTGTGTGGACTCCTGGGATCTTGAGAGGAAAGGGAGTCTGCAGGCAATCTCCTAGGAGCTACAAGGGCAGTGGCAGCCATGAGTCTCTTAGAACTGGAGCAGACAACTCTTGGTTTGCTGAGAGTGACACGCTGCTCCCTGGGTCTGAGTGTCACCTGCAGTGTCTGGTGGACAGTGGGCTGTGCTCACTTCAGTCTTTTCATCTCCAGTTGTTTTGTCAGCCCTTCTTTCCTCCCCTACCTCCTGGGGTTTGGATTTGCAGGTTTGGGAGCCCTCCCCATTTTTTAATCTTTAGCCTTTGAAAAATCATAGGAAGATTTAAAACATAGGTTAAAATCCCAAAGTAGTTAAAACTCAAAAAGCATGTCTTTCTATGCCAGGGAAAGCAAAGTGAAAAGAATCCAGCCTCACAGAAACTCCTCTAGACACCAAAGCCTTCATGGGCACATGTCCTCCACAGGGTCTTGTACCTCATTGGCTCAGGTACCCTAGCATTCACCTGCAGGGTGCATCCCACCTTCACACTAAGGGGCAAATCAATGGAGTTGCTGATTTTGGAAAGAGAAATTCAGGGGTTTTCATGCAGAGCAGTACTGAGGACACTAATGCTAATCACAGCACATTGCAAGAAAACTTGTTCACAACCTCCCCCAACCATGCCTCATAGCCAGGCATTAATGGGTCATGAACTTTGTAAGAGCTACCATCTGTCCAGGCTGTCACCAGAAATAGGACCAGCAAGGTGTGTTTTTTACAGGACCTGGCGATGGGCACCGATGCGGAGGGGGAGAAGATCAAGGACCCCATGAGGGCCATTGTCCCTATCCTGCTGGATGCGAACGTCAGCACTTATGACAAAATCCGTATCATCCTTCTCTACATCTTTCTGAAGAATGGTGAGCAGGGAGGAGGGAGAATAGGGGAGAGGCCAAGAGGGAAAACAAAGCGAAAAGTGGCTTAAAAGATAAGGAAAGGAAGAGAGAAAATCCTAGGGGCCACTTATGTTTGGGGAAATGCAATGTCGTCAAATCAGTTGCAACTAGAGGCTGAGATCTCCCTGGAGTTCTGAGTTAATTAGGAGCATGGACGACATAGAGGAGGCAAGGAATGGAGGGAGAGAGAGAGCTGGCTGGCTACAGGGCCAGTTTACTGGAGATCAGCCTGCCACATGTTTCCGGCTAGCATCACTATGGTAATCTCAGCCTTTAAAGGACTGATTTGTGCCCATGTCATTGTGCAAAAGATAATTAATAAGACTCTTGTCCAATTTGACTATGATGAATGGTGGGATTGGGCAGGGATTGCTGAGAAGCCAGGACAATGGAAACAGAGATAGTGGCCATCGCTCAGGACAGAATAGCTTGAGTAGAACTGGGATATTTGTTTTTCCCTCATCTTAGAGTCAAGTTGATGTAGTAGACAGATCAATGTTTGTTAACCCTAAGGAGGAGAAGGAAAGTGGTGAGCTCTGCTTCTGAGAGTGGAGATGGGCCAGACTTGGATATGGTGACCATTTACCCATCTTGTCCCTTAGGCATCACTGAGGAAAACCTGAACAAACTGATCCAGCATGCCCAGATTCCCCCAGAGGACAGTGAGATCATTACCAACATGGCTCATCTCGGCGTGCCCATCGTCACAGATGTACGAGCCAGCTATGTGGTGGGGGAGAGGCAAGGGGGGGCTGGCATGTTGTATGTACTCTGGCTCTCACTGATTGACAGCATCTTATGATATGGTCATATACAACCCTCAGCATCAAGAGAGGACAGATGAAGGGGTAAAGGTACAAATGGAATAGAGGTCAAAAGCAGGAAGTAGACGTGCACATCCAGGAGTTGCACAATCACTAAAACTGAGCTGTGTCTCTGAACCGAACCAAAACAAGTCACCCGGTTTCCCCCGTGGTATCTAAAGGTCAATCTAGCTTTACCTTTGGACATCTCAGACTTATCATCTCCCACAAATGCCATGTCTCGAGGCAAGCTGTTTAACACCTCTGAGTCTTCTGCACTGGGATTAATTGAGAACCAAGTCAGGCAACTCATCCAGAGGCCTGGGGCCATACAGTTTGCTCTGGGAGAGGCTGGGCAAAAATCTTCCAGGACCTTTCAGTATATTCTGCCTCAAACTCCACTTGTAGGAACCCCACTGTGTACTCTCCATCTACATGCAGTCAGCCCATGAAGCAGTACTAGCAAAGCTAGAGCTGCAGATGAACTGGTCTTAAAGAGACTTGGTTCCATTGTCACTGACTGTGGACATGGAACTGGCAGGAGTTTGGTGTTTTTAGACCTTTGTTAACAAGAAGGATCAAAATAATGAAGGTGATTCTCAGTACAGCCCATGCTGCTGAAGTGAAATAAAAAGCTAAGTCACAAAGTTGTACTTTCTCCTTTAATAGAATAGACAGCAAACTATTTTTTTGTACTGCATTTTGTTTTTTTAAAATGTACTGAGGATTGAACCCAGGGCCATGTGCTTGCTAGGAAGGACTCTAGGACTTGAGCCCCACTCCCAGCCCAAGAATCTGGATTTTTTTTTTTCCTTTATTCTTGTGCTGGGTGAGGGTACATTCAGGCATTTACAAATGTTCTTACAATGTATCAACTATCACACTTGTATTCACTACCTGGATTTTTTTAAATGGCACTCATACAACTTTTCATGACCTTTAGGTCCTTTTAAGGGCCGAATTTGTACCAGGTCCCTGAAAGGGTCACATTTGGGGCTATTCTGGAGAAAACCTCCCCCTTATTACTCTTTGCCAATGCTTACTCTGATGGAGTCCTTGAGAGAATGTCCAGAGGCCAGCAAAGGTCACCGAGGCCCCTGGCTCAAAGTGTGACCTTGTGTGTGCTTGCATTCAGTCCACACTGCGTCGCAGGAGCAAGCCGGAGCGGAAGGAGCGTATCAGTGAGCAGACCTACCAGCTCTCACGATGGACCCCGATTATTAAGGACATCATGGAGGTCAGTGACGGGGTTGTGAGGAGGGGCAGCCAGAGCCCAGGGCTCTTCACTGGATGACCCAGGTACCTGCAACAGTGACACCCCATGGTTTTAGTGATCCCATGAGGATTAGAACTCAGGGTCTGTCAGCCCTCCAAAAGCACCGGTTCTGGGAGTTCATGAAGAACCATGAGCCTGCCAGATGTAGACCCCCAAAGCCATTTGTCTGCTGCTCCTGTCTTGAGATTCAGTCCCTTGCTGTAAAGGTTCCCCGGTACTATATCCAAAGGAGCCAGGCCCATTGTGGCATCCCAAAGGTCAGATCAGGACATAATACACATATATGCACACTCCCTGCGGACATGGGCGTGCCACACGTCACACCTCAGCTGGGCGCAGAAGGACCTTGAAAGATGACCACAACCTGCCCTACCTCTTCTCCCTCTGCTTCCCTCCCTGAACCTCCACCCACCACCACTACCACCAGCAGACCAGACCTCTGCTCTGCAGTTCAAACTTGTCCCTTGCCTGGAATGTGTTTACCCTTCCTTTCCACTTCCTGAATCCTGGTTTCCTTCAGAGTTTCTGCCAGCCTCACAGTGGCCTGTGCTGCCTCACCTGTCTGACTGCCCAGCACCGCAGAGGCCTCTTGAATCCTGAGCACAGATGCCAGGACTTTGGGTCATCTTACATGATGAGCCTGTTGCCTAACTGCAGTGTCTCTGGCCCAGAGCCTCACACACCACAGGTGCTCTGTGTCTGTTGGCTATTAGGAAGGAGAGGTGGTGGGCATCACAGCAGCCCTGTGGTGTTGCTCTTTTCCCTCACTGGAACTGGAAGAAGCCCTACCTAGGTCCTGCACCACCAGGTCTTTGGGTTTGGGTTCAGAGACAATCTGTTCAAATTCCACACTTGATAGGCAACAAAACTGGGGTCCAAAGAATGAAAAGACTGCCCAGGATCCCTGAGCTAGGTCCTAGCAGCCCAAGTGTTCCTTCTGAATTGTGTGTTAAAATAAGTATGCTTTAAACACATAGTGAGTCAGATTGCTATTTTTAAAACCCACAAACCCAAGGGATCGGTGGACATGAAACATCCAGAAGCCAATGACATGCCTTTGCTTAGTGAAACAGATAAAGCATTCCTTCCTTTGTTCCCTGCCTCCTTTTTCTCCCCCTCATGTCCCCTCTTCCTTACTCCCCTAAAGAGGCACGTGGAGGCTTCCCATGGTGGCTGTTAAGAGGAGGGTGGATGGATTTTCAGGCAGCAGGAGGTGCATAGCTAGAACCCACCCACAGATAATTAGCCCCTCGACAAACCCCCGGCAGAAACTCTGCCAGGCCATTTCCACCAGGCTGACAACAAATAACAGATATTTAGTAGACAGAATACAACACGTGTAATCCAATCAACTTATTAAAAAAAGGATAAATTGGAAGGGAATCAAGGAAAATGAATGCTTTTTTTTTTTTTTTTACACTTAAAGAATAGACCCACAAGCTCACGTCAGCATAACAGGTAGCTGAGCAGGTAGCCTGTGCTAGACCGCCTGCTAGCAGCAGGCATGCACAGGAGCTGTGGTTATTGTAGACCTGGCCGTGGCTTTGCTACCTGACTTGTTCCTTCTACTCTATTGCTGTGGTCCTCATCAGCCCTTTCAAACACATGGTGGTTTGATCCCCGTCTTTTTTCTCTCCAGGATACTATTGAGGACAAACTTGATACCAAGCACTACCCATATATCTCCACTCGATCCTCTGCCTCCTTTAGTACCACCGCTGTCAGGTGAGTAGATGTAGGGAGAACAGCGGGTTGGTATCTGGTTGGATGTCAGTTCCACAGTGATCTTGTTGTGAGATGGTGTGAGCTATGAACTTCCCCACCTCCCATTAAGGCAACTGTGCAGGTCCTCAGCTCACTGAGGCCTGCACGGCTGTGCCCTCCGGCCTCCCATTACTCACTGACTCGCCCTGTCCTTGCTTCACTCACTCCACCTCAGCCATACCAGCCTCCTTGCTCAACTTGGAACAAGGCAGGCCCACTTCTGCCTCAGGACCTTTGCATTTGCTTTTCCCTTTGCCTAAATTATCTATTGCCAGATACACCTGTGTGACTCCCCTTTTCATCTTCTTTAGGTCTTTAATCAAATATTACCTTTCTGATCTTCCCTAACTACTCTGTTTAAAGTCAAGTACCCCAGTGTTCACACAACTCTATTTGTAATAGTCCAAGTGTGGAAACAACCCAGCTGTCCACCAACTGACAAATGAGTAAACAAAATGTAACAGATCTGGACAGTCCTTCTGAGAAGAGTTAGGGCTGAGCACATGAGATGGGGACAGAGGAGTTAGTGGCCCTAGAGAGGGTGACTGTTGGCACCAGTGTCTGTTGTTCCCAGGTTGGTCCTCTTTAGGACATGTGCCTCTCTGCCCCTCTTCTCATGTTTTTCCCACCTGTTTTCTCTCATCCCTCTTTCTGCCTTATTTTTGGCCTTCTCTTAGGCCTGGGCCAGCAACCTGTGGTGGCACCTGTGGACTGGTACTTTGTTTAACGGCAGTGGAGGTGAAATGTTCATTGCCAAACTTAAAGTACAAATTCCCAAGGGGTGCTACAGCCAGGCTGGTCGAGGGTGGTGGGGTACCTAGTGACTGCACAGGAAAGAGAATGTAAAAGGCCCTGGTTGACTTAGACGGTCCCTGGGTGCCTTCCATATTTGGAAAGGTCTATAGCGCTAGAGCTTAAGTTGAGAGGAAGGGCAAAGCATCTCAATGTCCAGTGGAGACTTACTCCCTTCCTTTCATTTTTCCTATTTTCTTAACCTGGAAGCAAACTACCTCTCCCTACTCCTCAGTCCAAGTCTCTACTGAGGAAGCCCAGCGACAGAGGGAGGTCCTGCCCCTAAGGGCCACACTGCCCTGACTCACCCGCTTTCAGGAGGCATCTCCTGGTGATGCCTGGGCATGGCTCCATGGCCCCCGTGCCTTTCCCTGTGCACTGAGCTCTTCTCTATCATAGTACAGCTCCTATCTGCTTCTTTTTCACACCCACCCTGTTAGACTGTGACATCTTTGTGGGCAAAGGCTGCCTCTCCCTGGGGATACAGGCCTGGCCTACAGTAAGTGTCCTGTACCTGCATTGTATATATTTGCTCAGGAGATCAACATGCCAACCTGAAGCAGACCTCAGACTCTGTGCTTGCTGTGCAGTGCTGCAGAGTTCCAGACAAGCTTAGGGACTGCCTCACCAGGAGGTGTCTGAACAAGCACCATGCGAGTGAGTTGCTGAGCTCCACACATCAAATGCCAGAGCTGACTGAGCCTCTCTGTTGCTGCGTGTTTCTAAGAGAGTGACAGCTCACAGCACATGTGCTCATAATGACTCTTCTTCACACAGCCAAGTGGCTTGAAAATTGCACTGCAGTTCAACTTGGCCAACACTTACTAAGCATCTGCTTTCTTTGGGGCACAAGTGGATGGAACTAGTGTATGACAAGCCACTGAGGATGAAGCAGTGGAAACTATAAGTACAAACACAAATTATTTCTGTCTGTCTCCTCAGCGCTCGCTATGGGCACTGGCACAAGAATAAGGCCCCGGGGGAGTACCGCAGCGGCCCCCGCCTCATTATTTTCATCCTTGGGGGCGTGAGCCTGAATGAGATGCGCTGTGCTTACGAGGTGACCCAAGCCAACGGCAAGTGGGAAGTGCTGATAGGTGAGTAGGGCATGCGCTGTAGAGGAAGGAGCTGCCTTGTCGCATTTTGACTCCATCCCATGCTTTGGTGTCGCATCCTGTCTTAGGTTCTCCATCACCTCAGCAGAACTAAGTCCTAGATAACTGTGGATGGCAAAAGCTAAGGGGCAAAGGGTTCTTTCCCCATATCTGCCTTACTGTGTCTTTCACTAAAAAGCAGCATCACAAGATGGAAAGGGCCTGATCATAGAGTCCAACAGAGTCAGGCTCAAAACCAGTGTGCTTCTGCTGCCAAATGTGGTCATCTTGAGCAAGTCGCTTAAACTCTCCAAGCTCCCATTTCCTTGCCCAGCAAAACAGTGCATAACACCCACTTGTAGCCTTTGCCCAGGCCTGGGTGTCCCAGCACCTGCCTCACACCAGATGCTCCACAGGTAGTAGGGAAATCATTACCCTCCTCCACTTAGCAGTTGGAGTTGGATGGATGTGAGTAGATAGTGCCTAAACTCTACTGGCCCGACTGCTGGACTCTGCTAAGGGTTCTCTCAACCACTTTATAGTCTGCCATACCCATTCATGTATTTCCTGTGAATTTCCAAAACAGAGAAGGCACCTAGTAGGAGCTGTTCTAATGCAGCAAGAGACACTCCTGCTTCATGCCTCCAGGCACCTTTGTAGCTTCTAGGGCTGGCAAAGGAGGAGCAAGCCGACAGCTTGCTTTCTACAGATACTCTTTTATCCCGTCTCATCGTTAACAAAATGGAGTTGCACCTGTCCACAGGGTCCCCTTGACATTGGTTGGCAGGAGGCTATCACGTACATTGCCCTAGTCAGGCTCACCCTTAGTGGGAACACACTCATGATGAACAAGGTGTGAGACCAGGGATCTCGGTTCCCCTTTGAAGGGGTGTGCTATGCACCCAGTGAGAAATTATACTCTCCAGGGCCTACTTCACCAGATGGTCCTGAGGCTGTCAGCCTCCTTTGTTAATACCATGGACCCAGTAGGGAGATTGTATGCCCCTCTATAACTCCTGCAGGCTTCCCTGGTCTGGTCATTTTTGTGGCATAAGTCCTGTGGTGTAGGCAGGGTGTTCCCTGCTTGCATATGCATTGCATGAATGTGCTGGATAATTCTGAGCACAAACACAGCTTTCCTGGACAGAAGCTGTCATGGCCAGGCTTTGGGTATGAACCTTCCTCTTCCCCTTTGGACCTGCCTGAAGGTTCCCCATGGGGAGGTGGAAACCTGGGGATGGAAGGTTGCTCATGCGGATTCATGGGGG